ACGGTTCAGACAGTTTGGCTCGTCGGCAGATGCGATACAGCCTCAGTGACGGTCAACTGCGACAGTTGCTGAAGAAATTAAAGTATTGGAGACAAAAGAAACCTCCGAACCCTCTGCCCCACCCTCCTACAATCCAGTAGTAAAGAAAGGGGAGTGGGAGGGGGGTGTTGGGCATGGGGTAGGGGATTACGGTAATAACCCTGCTAAACGTTATGATCAAAGATGCAGTTGTTATGGGGGAATTTTCGGCTATGGGTCCCTCGGCATTCCCAGTGTTTAACACTCCACAGGGGGGAAAGGAGTGGGAGGCATTGGATTTAAAGGCAGTAAAGGAGGCGCGTCAACCGGTAACATCCTACGGGTTAAAATCATCGTATACTCGGGCAATTACTGCACTGCACATTTTTTTCTGCATATATCTTAGCACCATATGATATCCGTATGATAGCTCAATTGTTGCTTACTCCCCACCTTCAGATATGATTTAAAGTGAGCACAGCAGAGGAAAAGCCTGGATACATGGCTACTGCCTTTTCTGCTGCTGTTAAACCCCTTTTACAATAAGGTTAGGGCGATCATGGGGGTGCTAAAGGTATGAGATGTTATAATTGTGGACGGACGGGACATTTTAAAAAAGAAACAGTGTACTGTAAAGAAAATTAGTTCAGCATCCCCCCCCCCCCACGGTAGTGTTACTGGTTTTGCAGATAAATGTATTAGATATGACAAATTGGACACAAGACAATTGAATGTCGTTGCTTTGCAACTTAGCTTGCCTAGCCCTTTAATGGTACCTCAGGGTTGCGATTTAATAGTAATTGATTTAAAAGACTGTTTTTTCACAATTCCTCTACACCCAAGCAATTGTGAAAAATTTGCTTTCTCTGTCCCACCAATTAACAAAGGAGAGCCTGCTAAGAGATATGAATGTGTTGTTTTACTTCAAGGTATGAAAAATTCTCCTGTTCTTTGTCAACTGTATGTTGCCTGAGTATTGCAACCGATCCGATAAAAACTGCAAAAATGTGTTATCTATCACTATATGTATGATATCCTAATTGCAGGCAAAGATTTAAACAAGGACCATCTGCTTAACCTGCTACAATCAAAATTAGCGAAAGCAGGACAGGTACTTGCGCCAGACAGAGAGCAGCGACTGCTGTAACTACTCGCTTAGAAGTATTTGCTCTTTTGATTATACGAGGTCGTTCACATTCTCAGGAAATTAAGGGCTGTGATCCATCACAAATTTGTTTGCCACTTACCAGGGTATGGTTAGACTGGGCACAACAATCTAGCTCTGCTTTTCAGTTTGCTCTGATAGGTTTTGTTGGTCCTCTTAATATACATTTTCCACCTCATAAGATGTTTACAATGCTAAAGAATAACCAGTTTGAAGATGTTTGAAGATGTTACCTTTTATCCTAGTAAACCTCTTTTAGGATTAGCTGTCTTTACAGATGCAAGCAAAATCAATCACACAGGCAGATATGTTTGGCAAACAGATGATGGTTGGAAAGAGCAGAAGATATTTGGTTATTTTTCCAATTTGCTACAAACACTAGAGCTAAGTGCTGTTATTGCAGTATTTCAGCGGTGGCCTAACACCCCCCTTGTCAGTGATTGAATGAACTGAAATTTGATCTTAGGACATCTGTTTCATGGATGTTTTCAGTACTTCTTAAGGTGAAGGGAGCAACCTTTTTTACGTTAAAGTAAAAGTTCTGCATCAAGACCTGCAGTGGATAGGTCTGTGATGGACTGTGGACTTATGACCCCATATAAAACTCATTTAATACATTCTCTCTGTGACACTCATGTACTAGAAGCTGGTAAAAATAAGTATGTCCAGGTTTCTATCGACCTTTGGAGACCTGTATAAATACTGCTGGCTCCTTCTTCCAACATAGGCTAGCCACCTCTGTCGGAATGAGTGTGCACTTTGGTCAGTATAAAAGGCCAAGCCTCATGCGATGTGAGGGAGGCAGAGCCTCTGCGGGGATGCCTGCTAAGGTTGGGCCTGCCACCTCGCACTGTGATGATGCTTCTTGGAGCTGGTTTTCTTGTTAAGTCTCCACAGGGTCCTTGTGCCACGTTCTGTATGTGGGATTGTGTAGTGGAAGTAATGATTGTTGGGATTTTGTGCTTCAAATATTGTAGTTGTGTTGACTGTGCTTGTGAGATCCCATATGTGTGTGTGTGTGTTGAGGGCAGACGGTGTTCTCTGTATTTTTTGTTGTTGAGTTCATGTAAAATTTTCTAATAGATAGTAGTTTAACATTTCAGACAAGAAAGGATTAATGCAAAAGTGCGGTTGCCGGCAGATATTTATGGTTGCTGCTGAAGCAGGCAGGCAGCTGTAGCTGCTGCTGAGCAGGCAGGCGTTTGCAGCCTTGCAAAGCAGGGTGAGCAACTTTGCAAAAAAAAAAAAAAAAAAAAGAGAGAGAAAAAGGTTATTTGTAAGAGTTTAGTCCCCATGTTCAAAAGAAGCTGCCCTCCGATTCGGCTCCCAGTGATCCACGGGTGGAAAGACCAGGATGGACACCAGAGCCGAGGAGTGAAAAACAAAACAAAACAAAATAAAACAAAACCAAGCTTAATGTGTTTAAAGTAACCTGGGGATGAATCCAAGACTTGGAGGAACAGATAGATCGGTTGAAACAAGAACTGCTAACTGAAAAAGCGAGAGGGGTAGTGCAACCACAAGCCTTACGAGCTGTCACCTAAGCAGCATCAGGGTGGCAGAAACAGAACCTATCTACTTCTCAAGAACTGATAACCTGGAGGAGGGGGTGTATTCGTGTCCTCCTGCCTACAGGTCCATGGCGAATGCCTGCAAAGTTTGTCAAGCCTTGCCATGAGCTGGACAGACAAATGGAGGAACCTGATGCCTCACCTGCAGGAGCTGAATGTGAATACCCCAAGCAGAATGAGATAGAGGAAGAGAAAAACCAATGATTGCTAAACATCATTTGGAAGCAACTGAAAAGTAACAGCTTGAATATGTGTGTTTGTAAAGTAGCTATTATTAGAAGCTTTGATTTTGTGTATGAAACCACCTGTATTTACTAGCCAGTTGCTGATAAGAAACTACACCTTGTATTGTATAGATTTGTCACTTGTAAAAGAAATGTCAGAGTATGCAAATTTGTAGCAGCTGCTAGAAAATGCTAAGGCAAAAGATAGAAATATTCTAATACAATGGTAGTGTTATAAAACAGGTAATGGAACAAATTAAGAGGGTGAGAGAATTCCACTGGTAAGAAAATTCTTTGGCTAGTCCCTTGCTGCCATCAGCATCTTCAACATGCTGCTGCACCCTGTAATAGTTACTCTGCTAATGTAAATCTGTGTGTGTGCCTTGCCGTAATAACAACTTGTTATTGAATGAAGCAGGTGAAACTGCACTGACAACAGGGTGCAAGGACTGAGGCTAACCAAATGCCTGCTACCACAATCAAGGGCAAGACTGGGTTGGCCTCTGTGCCTGCCACCAAGAACCTTTAGCTCTGCTGCTGGTTGCAACCCAGCAGGCATGGAGCGGTGGGGACACATGCCATGCCAGATTTTGATGTGAAGGATGGCCTCCCCTGTTACCAGAGAGCCATACGTGTTGCATGAATCTCTCAGACCATAGTAGCTCTATACACAAGGAACTACGACAACTCAAAGAGAATTTACACAAGTTAAAGGAAGGTAACTCTTGGGACCTCACCTCTTGGTTAAAGTCACTGGGACTAGGATCATGGTTAAGCAGTATTTTAAGCCACTTTTTGCCTGTATGTATCTTGCTTTTGTTTATCTTAATTTGTTTGCCTTGTATTATTCAATGTATTCAGCAAAGCCTTATGAAAATTGTAACAAATATGCTTGAAAAAGAAAAAGGGAGAATTGTGGAAGCGTGGTTAGCAGGCAAGGGTTATGTTCCCATGGCTGAACTTGGCCAGGGACCAGTTTTGTAAAAGTCAGTAAGAAACCCAGTTCGGTAAAAAACACCAGCTGTGCAAAAGGATAAGCTGACCTTGTAGTTAACAAGTATCCTGAAGGGAGGAACAAGGATGTTAGAAGAAGGGATGTAACCACAGGAGTTTCCCAAGAATGTGTGTGTGTAGCAGTCTAGCTCTATATATACCCTAGGCTTAAGCAGAATAAACGGATCACTTTTATCAATCATATTCGTTGTGCTGTGTTCCCTCTGCATCGCAACGACATAGAGTCTCCGACAAACCTCAGCCCAGGCTTCAAAGCTGGTAAACACTAAAACAGCAATTACTGGATGCAAGTAAGGTATGACATGCTGAAACTCCGAGACCAACTGCAACAACTCTGAGAGCAACTAAATCAACATTGTGACAAGCGACTATTAGTCTGAAACAATGCATGCTTATCACAAATACAGTTAGACACTTACACAATTTGTACAATTAGACAAATACAATTAGACACAAATACAAATTGACACTCTGGTCAGATCTGCCATTATCTCAACCCTACGTGCCTCACACTAGGTGCCACAAAGAACTGTCGTGGTTTAATCTCATCCAGTAACTCAGAACTACACAGCCTCTTGATCACTCCCCCCTTCTTCCCTCCCCCCCTGCTCCCAGAGGGATGGGAAGAAGAATCAAAAGAACATAAATGCCACGGGTTGAGATAAGAACAGTCCAGTAACTAACATATAGTACAAAAACTACTACTACCACTACCAATAATAATAATAAGGATAAGGGAAATAACAAGGGGAGAGAATACAACTGCTCACCAGCCACTGACTGATACCCAGCCCGACCTGAGCAGTGATCTGGGACTTCCGGATAATTCCCCCCAGTTTATATACCAAGCATGATGTGCTGTGGTATGGAACACCCCTTTGGCTAGTTTGGGTCACGTGTCCTTTCTGCTTCCTTCTGTCTTCTCCTGTTCGTCCTCACAGGCAGAGAATGAGACTGAAGAGTCCATCATTGGGGTAAACATTACTTAGCAACAACTAAGAACATTGGTGTGTTATTATCATTGTTATTAGACTAAAATAAAAAATCACAGCACTGCACCAGCTTCTAGGAAGGAGAAATATAACTGTTACAGCTGAACCCAGGACATACATGCACATGAAAGAAGTAGACTTGAAAAATTACCTGCAAAGCACTGTCAATTTTCATGTTTAGTAATTTGATCTGATGTTCAGGGACTGCCACACTCTGTGAGCAGAAAAGTTGCTGAACTTCAATTCCTGCCAAACATCCATCACAGCCTCTTTCTCGTAGTTGAGATGTTGTCTGTAATTCAAAATAAAAATCCAGCGTAAAGAGTTTTAACATTAAACCAGTTCAAGATTAATTAAATTTTAAAGAGCAGCCAAAAACACCTCACAGAGTTTAAACCATTATAAAGGAGATTAAAAGCAGCACCTGGTGGGAAGAATCTGGAGGAGCTTATTTATTATAATTTATTAAATCTCTACTGCTACTTTGCAAGTACACATTTCCCATAATTTTATGGCATATAGGTTTGGGCTAGCAACTTAATTCAACATTATTTGCTGTTACTATTTCAGCTCCCTCTCAGGACTAAGGATCCTGTTACACAGGCCACATGATGACTCTCATTCCCAGAGGAGGGTCTTACAACTTCAACATAAAGGGTATTACTTGCCACAAAAAATACATTTAATCACGTGGACAAACACTCCTTTGTACACAAGATATATTTTATAAAATTAAGGTTGATTACTGTGGTGTCATTTGAGAAGACCCACACAAGACTAAGATCAACTTAGCACAGCAAGAGAATAGCTTTATTTAATATGATTTAGAAAAATAAGAAATATGAAAAGTCACATATCTAGTTTTAACTGTAAAAAATTACATGACTGAGCAGGGTATAACAAAAAAGCTGCTCTCAACTGCATTTAAGGTCTTGGAGAGAGCTTATTTTTCAGTCTAGAAAGGAGTCTTGCTCTAAAGCAGGATGTTGAAATTGGGGGATTTTTGGTACTACAGCCAATGGTCATTACTTACCTCATTGACACATACAAAACTACAGCTTATTCCAAGTGAAAAAAAAAAGGGAAAATAGTTTTGAGTTACTGACAAAATATTGCCTTAAACTTTATTCTGAAATAGCAGTGTATTCTCTGTCAAGGAGGCTGGGTTTATATGGAAATAATGGATTTACTTCCTCCACAAAGTCAAAATTTTGAAAGACTTCAGCATTTCAAATCCAACCCTTGGGATTCTGTGATTCTGTGATTCTATCAAAATTACTTGCATATTAGTCTATCTAAATTTTGAGAGATTTTATTTATCTAGAGAGCACAGATTTTTTCTTATGCTATCCTAAAATACCACACAAATACTTCAGAGTAATTTTAGTCAATCATAAAAACTGAGAAGATTCTTCTATTTTTATTCTGGAACTAGGAAGAACCTGTATTTTTCTGGTCTCCTCCCCATGTATGTTTAATGAAGGATATGATTAGTATAATATTTGTATTAAAGTCTATTTCAAAATACAGGTTTTCATAACAGAAATAGCTTAGGTGGGCTGTTAAGGAGGTATAAAGAAAGTTAAGGTCCCAGATTCTGAAAACCCAAGTTAAATTTTAGCCACATTTTAAATAAACTAGATAGCAATGGCAGGGCCTTTCTAGAAATTGTAAGTTTTAAGGAACTAAGTATATTAAGCTTAAAATTAACTATTTTTAATGTAAAAGGAGTACAGCTATACCAGGATTAGACCTTTTACAATTATCTGCAATACACGTAAAGCACTCCCAAATCCTTATTTTATCCAGTGAAATAAACTTATGCTGCAGTAAAAATTACAAACAATTCTTCTGCATTCATAGTTCTAAAGGAAACTTGCTTGCTTTCATATACCTTTCACATCCCAGGTTGATAAATGGAAACCTTGACAAGATTTCCATTCAAGATGATAAACAACCTTGTGTGTGCTGCCAAATTGGACTTCAAAAGCACATGCTCTAAGTTACTTGAATTTAAAGAAACTGCATGCAGTGTCTGAAGTCATTTTGATCTATAAGCCTGCGGACTTCAATAGTACAAGGGAGAGGAGAAAAGCTCCTAAAACTGATTTTCTTTTTTCAGCAGTAAAAGTAAGGATTGCACAGATGACAAGTGTTTATGAAAATACAAGTCCAGAGAGTGGTACATGTAAGTGATACAATTCACATTCCAACAACTGATGGAGTAAGCAACATCAAGCTTAGCAGCATAAGACAAAAGTGTTAAAATTGAATGTAAAGATTTAAGTATAAAATAGAATTTGTGCTCAAAATTTAAGAAAAAGTCATTATCTAAATTATTTTTCATCAAGATTTTTTGCTGTTTTTGCAAGGACAACTTTCATATTTTATTCTAAATTCCACTTTTGCCAAACCACATTTGAATGCTGTTAATTAGTTACTAACAAAAAGCTGTTTCCACTGTTTGTGTACTCCTTATATACAATCATATCACAAAGAAAACTTTACACAGCACAGAGATGGTATAATCAGCATATAGGTAAAACAAGTTTTAGCATCTGAAACTAACTGCACCATGATCCCCACTTGAAATATAGCATGTCTTGAAAAATCAGAGATTTTCTTCCTTTATTAGGGCATTCAGCCTGAATTTAGATTTCACTAAAGATAACTGCCATTTCACTAAATATAAGGACAGCAAGACCTCCGTACCTCTGCTGCTCCTCTCCATGATCTTATTGCATCTTCTAGCTCATTTGTGGGGCTTAAACTTGAGGTTCTGGCTCCACTAACATTCTTTTTCTCCTGGGCTACAGCTTCAGCAAAGCAAGAGTGTGCCACTGGCTGGACTTTCTGCACAGCTTGTGACAGGAACTGAAAGTGGACCTGCATCACCGTCAAGAAGCATTGCCCAAGTACCTGCAGGAGAAGAAACAAACCCATTTCAAGCAAATAGAGGATTTCATGGAAGTTTCTTTTTCCTTTGTTCAGTGTTTGGGGTACTCAGATTCTTTTTCTATTAAAATAACACTTCAGATCATTAGGGACTGTAGTGATAGGACAAGGGGTAATGGGTTCAAACTTAAACTGGGGAAGTTTAGATTGGATATAAGGAAGAAATTCTTTACTGTAAGGGTGGTGAGTCACTGGAATGGGTTGCCCAGGGAAGTTGTGAATGCTCCATCCCTGGCAGCGTTCAGGGCCGGGTTGGACAGAGCCTTGGGTGACAAGGTTTAGTGTGAGGTGTCTCTGCCCATGGCAGGAGGTTGGAACTAGATGATCTTAAGGTCCTTTCCAACCCTAACTATTCTATGATTCTAAGCAACATTTGATATTTAGCCATTTACTTAGAATAAGGTAAACAGCAAGCAAACATTATTTTCTACAAATTAAAGGGAGATCATACTGATCCCATGTAATTTTTACTTCTGCACTCAAGTTATGGTTATTTGAAGAATGCAAAGCTTGTTCAGTTACTTAGCAATACTGAGCACATGAAAAAATAAAAAAATGTGAGTAGCATATTATCACAAGGACAAAGTCTACAGCAAAACCCACTTGAACACAGACCTTGTTGAATTTATGCTAAAAAGCCCCCAAAAAAATCTGGATAATTTTAAAACATTATAATTAAAATCAGAAAAGTTTAATCCAGCAGTTTATCTTCTAAGCAGAGCAATAACCAGCAATAAGCATGAAAACCATTTTGCCACATAATGCAGTAGACACACAATGACATTTTTAGAACGTAACAGTGACTGTAGAATGCATGCACAAAGTTGCAGCCCTGTCACTTGCATTGTCTGACAGGAACTGCTAACACCGGCACAAATTACCTCTTCAGAATATTGCACTGAAACAGGTCACTGAACATTCATTTGGAAAGCCCGATGAAAGGCAGGGAAGCGAAGGGCTGCTGGTGCCTCCCCGTACGAGCTGAGCTGAGGGCAGCGCCAGCATCATGCTGGGGAAGGGGGCCCCACCTCCACCCCTTGCACGTTTCCATCCCCCTCTGTCATACTAGTGCTAATGAGAATTATGACTTAAAACAGGCATATGCCTCATTTACTACAAACAGATCACACAACTTGAGTATTTAGGCACAGCCACAACACACGGAAGAACAGACAGGAGTACAACCATCCAGAAAGACAAGCTGAAGAGCAATGCAGCACAAACAGGAATGCTCTGTCTACCTTTAGGGCCACACTCTCCTAAGAAGATGAAAGCTTACCACAAAGCACAGCAACAACACAACAAAACAGCAAGTATTTTCCAAATTACTGGAGAAAGTATTTAAAAACTATTCAGAGTGTTTTGTTGCTTTTATGGAGTTTTTCACACAAAGTGGTTTAAAATGTATATTTGACTTTGATTTATTAAAAAAATACTTGAATTCCATTTTAGAAATAAATCATAAAATACATAGATGTACAAAGCCATTATGCCTTGAAGCAAATAAATCATCAGGCTTACTTTCTGCTACATTCTTCTGGAATAAAAACATTCAGACACAGTGATCACACGAACAGTTATATGCATTAACTATCTACTTCAGAAAAACCAGTGGTAGCAGTGCATTTTTCCATTGCATCTGGACTCCTTTTGACATTCCATTCTGGTTCAATCACATCCTTTCTTTATACAAGGCATGAAATTAATTATTTTTGGTACTTTGACTGACCTCTGAAAGTGGAGTTTGATAAAATGAAAAAAACCTCCAACTTTCCTGGCTACAAGATTAGAAAGATTTCTAAAAACAATGGTGATCTGAATATTTCTGTGTATGAAGAATGCAGTTCTCACGGGAAGAAGAAATTAAGACTCATGAGGAATTTCAAGCCAATTAAGTTTCAAAGAATATTTAAGGTACAGACACTGAAGTTTCCCCTGCCTGGGAATAATGCTCAAAATAAACAAATGATTTAGGGTTTTTTTAAGTAACGGCACACAACATTCCTAGTATAATTTACAATGTTAAACAGTAAGAACTACTACTTTGTTAAAAAAATAATCTATTTCAGTCTTCCTCAGAAATGGCTAAGAATGGCTTTAGCTGCTTAAATAAAATCCAAGCAGTGGAGGATTTTTGCACTGTCAAATGCTCATGGCAGATGTCAAACTCACTTCGCTTTAAAGTTTACTAACTGAAGATTTTCTTCCAAAGAGGTGAAACTGCCTTAACTGTGAGAAAGAAGTATGACCACAACAGTTTAACAAATACAGGCAGGGTTGGCCAGCAGGTATTAAAGTGTATAAAGCAATATACTAAATCTCTGTTGCCAAGTCTGCAGAACAATATTAGCATATGGATGCATTTTATTCAATGTACAGACACACCATCATCTCTTTTTGCAAGCTTGTTTTTTCCTACTTTCCCAAGCAGAATTGTTTGGCTCTCCTACTTTAGACCATATCTCAAGGTTTAAGCCCAGCTAGTAACTCAGAAACATGCAGACACTCACTCCCCCTCTTCTTCCTCCCCCCACTCCAGGAGAGATGAGGAGAAGAATCAAAAGAATGTAACTCCCACAGGCTGAGATAAGAACAGTCCAGTAACAAAGGTATAATACAAAACCACTACTACTACCACCAGTAATAACGGAAAGAATACAATTGCTCACCACCTGCCAACTGATATCCAGCCAGACCTGAGCAGTGATCCGGGCCTTCCAGGTTAACTCCCTCCAATATAGATACGGGGCATGTCCAGCATGACCAAGTATATCCAGGTCCCTGAGCAAAAGCAATCCCACAAGTGTGTTTGCCTTTACCTGAAGCAGGAATAACCCAGACTGTCTTCCCCAGCAAATTCTTTATGTGCACCACAGGAAATTAATCCCATTCTACAGTAGGTAAGTTATGATTAGGCTGGGCCAGCCCTGTTGGCAGATCCCCTAGTGTTAACCAACCAGGTGGCCTTTGTGTATCCCTATGTTTGAAAGTCCCACCACCATTGCTCTCAATGTAGTTTTTAACAGCGCATTGTACTGTTCAGTTTTTCCAGAGGCTGGTGCATGATAAGGGATGTGATATACCCACTCAGTGGCCCAAGTGTCTAGAAAGTTGTTCTGGAAATGAGTCCCATTGTCTGACTCAATTATTTCTGGGGTGCCGTGTGGCCACAAGACTTGTTTCTCAAGGCCCAGGATAGTGTTCCGAGCAGCGGTGAGGCACAGCGTATGTCCTCCATACCAGAGAGGCTTTAACTGCTTGGCTTTCTTAATTGCAGCACATGTTTCACATTTGTGAATAACCTGGGCAATAGTGTCCATTGTTAAGTCCACCCCTCGATCTCGAGCCCATTTATATGTTGCATCTCTGCCCTGATGGCCTCAGGTGTCATGGGCCCACCAGGCTAAAAATAATACACTCTTTTGTTGCCATAAGAAATCCATCTGAGCCACTTCAATCTTTATCTACCTGCTTTATCTACCTCTTGGTTGTTTTTGTGTTCCTCAGTGGCCCAACTCCTTGGTACCCAAGCATCCAAGTGGCCTACCTTCACCAGCAGGTTCTGTACCCAGGCAGTGATATCTTGCCACAGTGCAGCAGCCCAGATGAGTTTACCTCTATGTTGCCAGTTGCTCTGCTTCCATTGCTGCAATCACCCCCACAAGTCATTTGCCACCATCCATGAGTCAGTATAAACTACTGGCCATTTGTCTTGTTCATCAGTGTCCAAAGCCAGCTGGATGGCTTTCACCTTGGCAGACTGACTCGATTAACCCTCTCCTTCAGCAGTTTCTGCAACTTGTCGTTGGGGACTCCATGCAGCTGCCTTCCATCTCCAACGTTTTCCCACACTGTCCTGGGTTTAGGAGTAGCAGTCATTTTTTCTCCTTTTCAGTAGCTGGTGCAGCACTGTGTTTTTGACTTTCGGCTTGGGAACAGAGCTGATAACACTGATGTTTAGTCTGATCAAGGACTTTGTGAGTCTCAGGCTCTGTCAGGGAGGAGGGAAGCCAGGAGGAAGCAGAAACAGGACACCTGACCCAAACTGACCAAAGAGGTATTCCATACCACAACACGTCATGACCAGGGTGTAACTGGGAGTTACCTGGAAGGGCACTCACTGCTTGGTTGGGCTCATTTCGGTGGCTGGTACCGTCTTCTCTTCCCTTGTTATTTCTCTTATCATTAGTATTACTAGTGGTAGCAGTAGTGATTTGTGTTATACCTTAGTTACTAAACTGTTCTTATCTCAACCCGTAGGAGTTACATTCTTTTGATTCTCCTCCCCACTCCTCTGGGGGGGAAGGGAAGAAAGAAAGGGGGGGAGAAACTGCGTGGCTGACTGGGTTTATACCACGACACACATTCACACGACTGAGAAAGTCCTTGATCAGAGTAAACATTACCTAGGAACATCTAAAAGCATTGGTGTGATATCAGCACTGTTCCCACACTCAAGTAGAAAACACAACACTGCACCCAGCAACTAAGAATGAGAAAATACTGCTACTGCTGAACCCAGGACACCATACTAAGAACAACCTAAAATCTAGAGACTATGTAGTACTCAAAGTGGAATCATCACAGGTGTCAACTATTAACTTTTTCTTGGTAGTGATGTGTTTTCTGAAACCATTTCTTAGAATAATTTTATTGCATATACAATGACGTCTCCAGCTTGCAAGCTTTTTGTCCCAAGAAATACAGCTCTAGCACCTCAACTTCCTTAATATGTTACCATGTAGGACAGCTGTCTATCTCAGCAGGGAATAACCTTACCTAAAGGAATCTGTCTTCCTGTTTAGGCAGTTAGAGGCAATGATACTGTTTTGGGAGGTCTCACTTCAGAATTCCTTGTCTCTGAAACAGGGGATGAGTTTAATCAAACTGGTTACCTACAAACAGGAGCATCAGGTAAAGATGCAGTGTTAGGTTTATCTTTCCCATATCATCCTCCTAATGGGGGTACACAGTCAGCTTTGGAATATTTTTCTGGACAAAGCACACACAAAATTGCCAGATTTCATCTCTGAACAGTGATACCATGCAAATTCCCTGGCAAACAAATCTTACACAACAGATTATTTAAAAAAGAACACTACCACTAATAAAGTTAGCAAACAACCAGTGTCAGTCTTCCACACTTGATACAAACAGTGACCTGCAGTTCCAAGTTCAATTTTCCATAGTATATTTTTTTGCTATTTCCCTAAACAAACAGAATACTCAACAAAACAAAACATCACAACACACTGAAAAGTCCTACTGGTTTCCTACTACCCCCTTTTCCCTGAGCAGAGTTCTTAATGGCTTTTGTAACAGTAAGTCCTGTGCACAACCCATCTACCCACCGAAGAATCAGCTTAATATAGTAATATAATGAAGCTAACAATGAGGCATGACTCAAACTGGTGTACCAGATGATGAGATAGCACCCTTTCCCACATATTACTCAAAGTAGGCAGAATATTATTCATTTTTACTATGCAGCAGTGCCCTGCAGTTTTGAAGAATGATCTTGGTTACCATAAAAGTCAGTCGGAGAAACTCTCTGACTCAATTCAGAGTTATAGAAATAAGGCATTCTTTATTTCAGTGCTGGGCGCACATGTAAATCATTCTGCAAAGGTGAGTGCACCCATTACTTGCTGGCAGCAGCTATATATTTAGCATACTCATGCATATGCACAGCATTTCCAGGAACTAATTATAATATCTGTATCCTAATTACTCATGTGTTTTCTTGCTAAGTGGGGGTCCCTGGTGGTCATTGATAGTCTTCCTCACTGTGTTTACTGAATAACCTCAGTGTTTGTGCATGCTCACAAGGTCCTAGTACTTAGTTAGCAGTTATGTTCTTGCTTCTGTTCCAGTCTCGCTCCATGTTGGGCACCATTCTGTTATTTTGAAGGCTGACATCCTTGGTCTTATTTACTGTCTCCTTACTTGTTATAAATCCTGTGACATGCCTTCCCCCATCAGCTGAACATTCCTTTCTCTCTATGCATTAGAAATTAGAACAGTTTGTTCTATTCGATGTTAAAGGCACACACACTATTGCTAGCTTAAAATTTAAGCTTACAATCTCATGACCAAAACACCTCCAAGGGAAGACACAATCCTGCTCATTGAAGAAGTGTTACCTAAAAGACCAACTAGATTCCAGCAGAATTTCAGCTACAGTATTAGAAGACATGGGCAACCTGACAGACTCATTTCTGTTAACAGTCAACTAGTAGTCATAATTTGATATTGACAGCTACTAAAATGCTAACTATGATTTAGAAAAAAAAGTATTTAAGTATTAAACATTAGAAAAAGTAATTAAAATGTAATACAAAGTATTTCTAAAGACAATGCTAGCAGATCCAAGAGCAGACCATGAGACTGTAGACCAAGACGAGTACAATGGCATTCCAGCAAGCCATAGCATTTTCTACTGATGTGAATCAGCTTTTGGCTACTGACAGTTCTTCAACTTGGAAAAGTCTGAATCCAATCCCTGTAAATCATAGGAAAGATAATAATTTTCAAAAATATATTTAAAATTAGGCTTTAAAATGTTTG